TTATGAAGAAAGTATTAGTGGTTTACTATTAACCTTACATTTTAAACAATTTTCATACGACTCTTCTTGATTGTTTATAAGGTAAATTTTTATTAAATCTCTAATAATTTTAGTCATTTGGCATTCCGCAAATATTTTAAAATTCCCGATAAGTTTCAAATTTTCAAAAAATGACAAAAATATTTTAACTTATTGCACTTAACCCTATGAAGTATTTGTTGATGTATGGAATCACACGGTCAAATAAAAATAAATTAGGTTGACGGAGGACCTCTAACTCTCCGAATGTCTGGTCCTTGGGTAAGTTGTACTTACCTGCACAAATAACAAATCGTAAGCGGGCGGGTGTAATTCCATGGTTGTTCCTCCGATGATCAAGTCAATGTGTGGCGTGTGTGGAGAAGTAAAAGAAACTGCAGTAGTTCTTTAGTTCAGAGAATGATGGAAAAAGCTTACCCTGTAATGAAAATTAGTATCTCCTTTTATAGTAGTGGAATGAGAGTAGGATGGTAACTTTGGCCGGGCATGGGATGGCGGCCAAGTCATCTCTAACTTTACAGGTGTCGACCGACGAGTGGAGAAGATGTCACTTTGGTGTTTAATGCAAAGTGACGGGAAGTGTGCGGTGCCAACATAGTCTGGTGTGTCATAAATACTATTGGAGGCAGAGGAATGATGTGCCTGTAATGGATTTAATGACATTTATAACGAGGTGATTGGTCATCAGTGCACAGGAGGGGCTCGAGGCGTTTCGTCGTCTTTCTACTCGTCTAGTGGCCGAGAAGTACCGCCTTATGAGTTGCCCTCACAATGTGTCGGCCAAGTTGAGTGATTAAGTAGTTGACTCAGGCGGGGATCAACATGTGACGCCTTTTGAGTCGTCAACATGTGACGCCTTTTGAGTCGTCAACATGTGACGCCTTTCGAGTCATCCTCCTAAATGTCGACGTGTCGAGTCCACCGAGTTGAGCCTCTAATTGTCTTGAAGTGCTAATTTGATTATGTATAATGTGGAATACTTATCTGTCATTGACTAGAGATTATTTTCTATCACTAAAACGACTATAATAGCATTGCACATATATATACACTAACCAATATTAATTATCTCTTGAGGTTAATATGTATAGCTCTCAAATCATTTCTATTTGTATATTAACCCATAAACTACAAACAACTCCTAGAAAATAAAAAAAAAATATAAGAAGCCCTCTGATAAATATGAACAATAGTCAACCCCCTGACAAATCTAAAAATTAAAAAAAAAATCTTTAAATTGTAAAAATTAAAGAGAATCTCCTGAAAAATATAAAAATTACTAACCATCACATTTAAATGTTAAAAGTTATATATATCCCCTTGAAAACTCCAAAACTAATAAATAGATCTCCTACAAATATGAAAATTACAAATAACCCTCTAAAAGTCTAAAATTGCAAAAAAAAAAAACTCTAAAAATATAAAAAATACAAAAAGACATAAATTTTTTAAAAAAAACAAAGAACAACCCAAAGTTCTAAACACTACAAATAGCTCATTGCAAAATCTAAAAATTATAAATAACCCCTTTTAAGATCTAAAATTTAGAAACGACCTCTTAAAAATCTAAATTTTATCATTATTAGGAATTTTTTATCATAGCTATTGATGATTAAGTGACAACTTAAAACTTATTAGGTGTTTTCATCCAAAATTTATTGTTATATTTTGGCTAGTTGATCACATATTAATTAGCAATCTTAATTTAGAAAATTTCTACCAATAGCTTTTGGGTGGTTTTGGTGAGAGTTTCAAAGGTATAAGGGATTTAATGTCAAACGCCTAAATTTATTGGAGTTTAGTGAAATTTATCAATATTTCACTTTATTTGGAGATGATAGGTATTGGCTGTGGTTACACACGAAGATCTAATATTTATTGAAGAATAGATAAGTGATTACTATTATTGTAACATACATTGATCATTAAATTAAGATAAGAACTAAAATCTTAAATGGATAGAAAAATCACTCGAGTCATTATAAATAATGAAAATCTAAGTCTACTATTCTATGAGCAGAAGAATAAATTGAACAACATAAAAGGGTAGAAATAAAAAAAAAGGAAATGGTTTAAATCCTGCTTTACATATATTAAAAAATTTTGATTTATTATTATAGTCTTTCATTTCAAAAAAAAATATTATATGTCTCTTCCTGACTGAGTTGAAATTGAAAATTTGAAATAAAAGTTATCTATAGATTTACTAAGTGAGGTATTATTTTCTTTTGTTTTAATTTTAAAAAAAAATCTTAAAAAGAGGGATATTATAAAGGAGGGATTGATGCTTAAACCATCTTATTTGTTATTTTAGTTTTGATATGAAATTTATCTACATCCTTATTTTGTATTTCCTTTATGGCATTTGGTTTTTCTATTGTAAAGGGATGAAATTGATTTTCATGCTTACCACATCACCTTTGAAAATCTCAAGAGAAAAAAGATGTACATTTTCTATGTTTGCTTGGTTTGATAATCTATGTAAAAAAGATATCTTGAATTGCTTCATCGTGTCTATCTTTTCATGAAATTCACTTCAGCTCTAAAACGTCCGAAATGAGTTTCAAGTCATGAAATATGATTCAAGTTTTTTTTTTTTTTAAACCAACCAAACAACCTCTTATAAAGAAAAACTTTTACTCAGGTTAATTACCTACTTCTGAAAAGGAGCAATAATCCGAAGAAAAGTTTTTAGGACAATTCAATTTTCAAGGAAACCAAATCAACCGTGCGTGAACAGGCATAACGCTTTGTGATTAATTAAAGATAAATTACCTCTTTTTGATAATATTTGCCGAGAGTAGTATAGCCACTAGTAGAACTTGATTCATAAGAATCAAGGAAGGTTGCTCAGGAAAATATAATTTGCACATTAGCTAGTAAACTCCCCCTTGGTATTAATTTTGCTGCCATTGACGTCTGATAAGTGATAAACTGGCGAGGGTAATGGTCGAAAGTTCACCGTTCAAGTTCTTTTTTAATTACTAAAACGATCAAATTGGACTCTTTTTATATATATTATATTCAATTGCATCTTGAAAAACCATGACGTCATTATTTGATAGATTTCTTACGTGTTGCATTGTATGTGTTGGGTAGGGTAATGAAATAGATCTATGTCAACTCACCACGGGGTGACTTGAGCGGTTGTAAGGTTTAAATATGACTTCCGTGGTCTTGGGTTCGATTCCCTGCTGGGTCATCAAAAAGTAAAAGAAAAAAAGTTCTACACTATTTAGAATAGCTATTTGGATTAGCAAATGCTACTTTCTCACAAAAACAAAATAATAATAACAACAACAATGCAAATCACCTGTTGGAGCCTTTGGCAAGCTAGGAACAACCTAATATTTAACAGTGTTTCCCCTACCCATGGTGACGTCGAGTTTCATATGTTAATCTTTTTTTCTTTTCTTTAATATTCTTTTTGTTCTCTCCCGAACGATGTACTTTTGGACCTGTAATCTGCTTTATGCAAACTTTTGCGACCCTTCTGACCTTTAACTTCCATGAGCTATGCACGCGATTGGGATCTTCTACTAAGACTTATAATGCTTCCTAATATCTCCTAATGCATCTTCACATTTCATTTTGTGCATAAGCACAAAATACGAGGATGTACTATGCAATGAAAGGTGAAAATACCTTAGAAGATATTAGGAGGCACTATGCCTTAGTAAAAGATCCCAATCTATGCATGAGGGTGGCTTTGGACCCTAGTTTTTGAAAGTAATCTGTTCAACGGGATCTCTTGTTGGATACTTCTTGTATCCTTTGTATTTTGTCTCTTATGTTATGTTAATAAAATGAACGGGGAGGATTCCCCTTTTTTTTAGCTCAAAAATAATAATAATAGTAACAATACAAATCAATTAAAAGGCTTACTAAGCACTTAGTTGAAAACTAGGCCTCAAAAAGTATAAATATGTTATACAATTGATGCAATTATAACCCTCATCGTAAACCTATGTAGATTGACATGCAAGAGCTCCGCTCCGCGGAACACTGGAAGGACCTGAAAGCTGAGTTTACCAAAAACAAATAAGATAACTGATGTAAAATACTACATTCATTCTATCATAAATTACAAAATTTCTAGGGTTAACATATCAAAATTTCCCCCATTTCTCATAAATCAATCCCCTGGTATGATCTACAATTACAAACAAAAAGGATAGCTCGTCTATCCTAGAACTTTGTCAGCCTTCCTCGCCTTTTTCGTGTTATGGCTACCTGCAGCTTCTGGGCCTCTATCTGTTCTTCTCTTTTTCTTTCCCTGAAAAACCAACAGAAATCAACAGAATCAATTCTCCCACTCAATCATAGTATTTAATAGCTCATATAAAGCTATAGCAACGAAGGGTACAGCTATCCTAAGGGCTTGTTTGGATTGAGGGGAATAAGGGAGAAGGGAAGTTAGGGGAACCATTCACCTTGTTTGGAAACATTTAGGAGGTGAAGTTATTCACCCTATTTTCCCTTAGTTCACCACTTAATAGTATAAAATTTGTTATCCCCCAAATTGGGGTGTAACCAAGGGGAAGGAAACTCCCTTCCCTTCCCTTCTCTTCCCTCACCTAGTTTCCCTTAACTTCCCTTAACCCCATTGAAATCCAAACACACCCTAAGATTACTGAATGTTCGTATATTCACGCACAACCAAGATCGGAATATCATATACTCAAGGGTTAATTGTGGATAGACCCCCTATAGTATCAATGCCATGAACTTACTACCCCTCTAGTTTTACTTCTGCCCATAGACCCTACCCTCGAGGGGTCTATTTGTCAAAAAAAAACAAATTTTTCTTTCCCTGAGGGTAACAGAGTAAAAAAAACAATCAAGTGCCTATTTGCAAAATAAAACTAGAAGGGTACTAAGTTTTAACAGCGAGATACTATGGTATGTCAATCCGTAATTAACCCTACATTCAAATATTAAACAAGTTACAAGATACTCTCAGGTTCAGTATAGCAACTGAATTATAAGTTACCCATCTCTTCATATATAGCAAATGAAATGCATAAAGTCCTCGACTGTGCAAAATATTGCTCCAAAAGTATTCCCCACCTCACCCCCCACCCCTCTTCTTTTCTTACTTCTTTTTTTCTTTTCTTTTTTTGAGTGTTATTAATGGCAACAATCATGATAGTGTTAATTTCCAGTAAGTGAATTTCGGAATTTATTTCATGAGGTCACAGCACAAGAAAGGGAACACAAGTTAGCTGACTACACACCTCCATGGAGAGAGTCTTGAGAGGATCTCTATTCTTGCGAGATCTCTTCTTGACCCCAGTATTTCGTCTTGACTTGATACCCATTGCTGCTCTGGAAAGCTTAACCATCTTGGTGTTCTCTTGTACTTTAGGGTCGACAAGATATTCTGGAACATCACGCAAATGACCAGGTGGTGCCTTCTTGCTCAACAGCTTGTCATGCTTCAATAGATCTGTTTATATTGAGGACCAGGACTTAATCATTAGAATTCCTAATTCATCCTAGTAAGTAATCATGTAGCATAATTCATAAATTACATATATAGACAAGTTACCTAAGTCCTTCGGGTTATCTTGAAAATGTGACTTCAACCTATACCAAAAAAAACATGTGATTAATAATGCAGGTAAAAACGAATTGCTTTCGAGATAAACAGAGATTAATGCAAGCTGAATATTGTTATTACTCCATAATTGTCAGAAAACCAAAAAAAAGTTGAATTTATTGAAAATACAGCGTTTCCCTGTCTCTTGTGCTGTGAACTCATCATCAAGGATCCTGAGTGAGTATTTTCATCAAATTGGTTGAAGTAACAAGAAGTAAACCCCCAATAGGGAGAATTTTCAAAGAAGATTTCCCTTGAATCCTTTTGTTCATTAGTTAAGTAACTAAACTTGCAAACGATAACCCACAACAAAATTAATCTTACTTCTCCGAATTTAGTATTTCGTTCCTTAGATCCTGAGCACGTGATTCTTTGACTGCAATTTTTGTTACACTTTTAGCAACGTCCTGCAAAATGTGAAACCTGTCATATATCATCCTCTCTTAAGTTTGAAGAGACCACAAGAACTATCAAGAATATTACAAATTATGCATAAAAAAAGCTGATTGAATATGATAAAATTGTGTGTGCAATTGACCGTAGGTTGCTGCTTGCTATGTATGTGGAACAGAAACAGGTACATAGAATGCTGATACTCCAGAAACATGATATGTTTTAACTTTTCTTTCTTTTCTTTTCGGTGGGTGGGTTTGGGGGTGGGGCTTGGGATTGAGGGGGCGTAGGCACCTCATTTTGCTAAAATTGGCTGCCACATGATAGCCTAGCGACGTTTTACTCACATCGGAGGAGGTGAACCTCACCAATTCTGTCTCTCGATAACTCATTTTGCTAAATAAGGTGGCAACTCATATGGAGTCGAGGTTCTATCATGCTTATTGTGTTTTCTTATGGTTACAATTAGCCAACTTAAGGTTGCCATATTATATATTCAGGTTGTCGATGAATGTTTAATAGACGGTCAGGTGACATAGCCTTGAAAGCAAAGAAATCGATAGTAGACTGCACTACCAAACTATTAACTGAAATGAACATATTCCGAATTATTTCAGCTAAATATGGTGACAAGACAAATCAGGTGACAGCCTAGGCATGAAATACTCTAAAATAAGGTTCAACCACTATCCAAACTTCTTGGAAAGAATTTGACTTCTCACATGGAATATTATGCAAACAATAAGATAACATAACCAGGTATACCCTAAAAAATTCAAGAAAATTTTGTGAAATGTCACCTCAGCTCTATATCGCAAATTCTCCACAGCATTCTTAGTCAATAAGGGGAAAGGCACAATAGATCTTGACGTATCTTGGTTTTCATCATCTCCCAGTAAGAGTTTAATTTCTTTGAAAACTTCTTCCTCCGAAGGAGCAACCTGTTCAGCGAAAGTAATATAAAACCGATACAGGAAGAGGTTGCAGCGCCCAATAAAACAGCTTGATTGATCCATAACATAATACTTGACATTGATGTCATGGTGGAACATATGTAAACAGCATAAATTTAAATTATTTCCTGGAATTTTCATGTCCCTCGTTATTTTCTCATTTTAGTGAAAGAACTAGATTTGAGCACAAACCACTTATTATGGTTATGTACGTATTCCTACGTACTCACAAGAGAGACAGAGGCACCTATGTTATGCGCTCTCCCCGTACGCCCAATCCTGTGTATATATCCTGCAGGGTCTTTCGGCATGTCAAGATTAATAACCTGACAAAACATAATACAAGAACTGTTATCACAGTGACATTATAGTTAAAGTCGCAGAAACTATAGGAAGATAATGATATACATGTAACTTTGTGATCTTTAACCAAAAATGCAAAAAGGCACATGAATTTTAATTGACAGAAAATTTAGTCAATAACTTATCCCAAATTTTAATAGGCCCGCTAGGCGCAATAATTTAAATGCAAAATGAAAAGTTTAGTTCCATAAAAAAGTTACCAACTTACTGTAAAAACGTTCTTGAAGTCGATTCCTCTCACTACCCCGAATTCTGCATCCAATTTTTGCCTCAGGTGCTTTTTTGAATGTTTTGGTTGGATGTGACTTTCCTTGACTTCTTTTTCCTTCTCTCTGATCTGGTTGTCGTCTGTTGCTAGTAGATAATCAAATAATCCTGCATTGAATTCCTGCAAAAGCAGTAGTTGAAACTCATCTCCTGTCCAGCAAACATAAAGTTGAACTTGACCATATAAAAGGGACTTTCAGATTGAAGGATAAAGAACATTATTGTGTTCAGAGTTCAGCATGGTACTAACTAAATGTATCCTGAATTAAACATTTGTACCCCATAGTTTAGCAGCAACATAAAAGACAAGGATTTAGAAGTTAAATTACCTCGAGAATATGAAGACGTGAATTCTGGGGCAATTCAGCATTCAAGACAGCAGATCTTATCCCAAACTGACACAAGCAAAGAATGAAAAACAGTTTGTCATGTACTTAAAGTGTGATGCATCTGAACTAATGGAAGAAAACATTACAGGATTCTTCAACTCTATTTTCTTAAATCAAATTCTTGCCTTTACAAAATAAAACTATTTAAAGTGGTTCTTATAGAAGAATCGATCCTTTTATTTACTTGAGCATCTTTATTCATAGGTAGACTTCAAAATTTCTCAAAGTTAATATTTGACTAGAAATTCCAGAATTTGAGAGCTCTGGTAGCTTTCATGACAGGAAAAAATTTCAGGCTTCAAGAAATTTCTATACACTTTTTCCTGAACACCAATTGCTAAAACAATTTTCCTTAATACAAACCAAGTTTTGGGATTTATACAACCCTAGGATTAAATAATAGAAGCTGAAGCTCATGAAGACTAATTTTTTGACAATAGAGAATCAAAATTCATAAATAACTTCTTGCATGTAATTCTAAATCTATCCGGTTTAATGTAAATCAAAGTGAGGGAGTCTTTTCATGTGAGTGCACCTGTTCAAGAAATAGCTTCAATCTAAAACCCATGTCAATCGAATTGACAAATATTATCACTTTTTTCTGAACAAGCTCGTGTTTCAAGAGAGTAAGGATGTAAAGTAGCTTATCACGAGCACTGCATGAGATCTGAAATGAACATATACATAAAAGTCAGTGATTATGGAAAATGTAGCAGCCATAAGATGTTACAAAGTTGATTAAATAAACAAATTACCGTGGAAATAAAATACATATTTATAGCAATAGCCAATAAGCTATCAAATATCAAGGCTTATCTGTTTAACCAACACCCACAATATTTGAAAAGCATCCATATAACTGAAATATAGAATATTGTAAACAAAATATAACTGTAGCAAGTATTATAATGAACATTGCATGGGACGTAGAGCATTATAGATAAAAAGTCAGTGTTTTTAAGGTACATAATTGCTACTTTACTACGGAGTCTTAAAAGTAAATGCACAAGCATGAAATGAAGTTTGTTATCAAGAAACAGACAGCATATTCTGTAGGAAAGAATTATTTAGACTACTTACAACTTTACATTGTGATGAGACAAAATTGGGGACAAATAGTTAACAAACCTATGAAATTTCCAGAAAATATGGTTCTAGTGGGATCTCCGACAGAAAATATGGTTTCTATACAGGTCAACAATGTTGAAATACTTGAAACTTGAAACTTCCAACCTAATGTCATAGCTATGGATGCAGTCGTTTCCTAATCTGATGCATTGCTAGCCAGTGTTAGATTCTGCATGTGTTATGATCTGTGGTTACAAAGATGGTGAACAAGTCTCCTCCCATTGAAAAGAAAAGGTACGATAAACTAATAATAATACAGAAAATTCATTAAATCCACTGAACTTGAGAAAGTCCCCTCAACTGTTGAAGTCATCACCTCCCTCCCTCCCACCCCCCTCCCTGTAAACTTGATGCATCACAGGACATTAAATTGTAAAATGATGCAAATGTTATGAGACTAGCACAATCCTCTTCCTCAGAACATTAGAATAAGGTTTTTGGTTAAAGTTAGGATTATGGCTAAGGTTTTGCTTCGATCTAGAATTATGATTGTGGCACTCTAAAACCATTAATCAAAACCATCTTCTAGCTTATTCAGAAAACCATCCTCCATAGCCATTAATCAAAACCTTGGCAAAGCCCATCTTCTAAACCCATGGATAAAATAAAACATTTTCTACATGTACTAACTCAGAGCCCATCTTCTAAGCCTATTAGATGAAACCCAAAAGTCAAAACTCACCTTAAACCTATCGAACAAAATCACCTTCTAAATCCATTAATTAATACCTACCTGTAAAGATCCCATCAAAATAAATACGGTAGTTGAGCCTAATGATCTCAATTCCAGCTTTAAATGTAAGAAAAGGTGTACCATGTCAACAATATTTACAATAAAGATACTTTGCATGGTTTCGAGATTCCATATCTACAACTGACTTACAAATTTAATTCACCTCAACTTGTGATATGTTTGGTATAACAAAATTGTTCAATTTAAACTCCCATTTTGTGGCTGGATAGAACTAAAATTATTGAATTTAATGGTGCTTCTTCTAATAACAAATGTGTTTAGCTATCTTACGAACCCAAGATAAGTTACCACGCTTCCCCAAAGGCTTGGACTTCACTAATCTCGAGCAGGTCCAAAGGTGGTTAATTTCAATTTACTATGGAATTGCAACCCTTAAATTTCATCTAAAAGGTTCGGATCTATCCAAGAAAGTAAACTGGTGGTAACCCAGTAGTCTAATAGACACTAATATAGCCTGTCTAGTAACAGAAAGGTACTGACATAATTCTATAATATACATACTAAGTGTTAGGATCCATTATCATTGCTCAGAGCATATTTTATGTTCACTAAAGCTTAAGGACTCATATAAACAGTTCACATGTGTTAGTTTGTTTTGGCTAAATCACTAACGCTATTTGATTAACTGAGAAAATTTCTTTATAATGAAGTAAACTTACAAATTAAGAAACTTTCTTGGAAAAGAAAAGCAGTAAGAGAAGATTCCAAGTGGTGTCTTTACAATAGACTTTTCTTGCGCATGATAAATTAAAGACCAGTTTATTTCATATGCTGTGCGAATTTGAGAGAAATATGCCTTTGTGTCAAGTTTTAACTATATTTTCACAAGCATTTGGCGAATAATATTCGTACTTACCCAAAACTGCTGCACATTTTTTGGGATAATTTCATCCTTGGAGTCTTTTATTTCTGACAGGGTCAAAATTACTGGATTATGCAACACAAGCTTCTTCAATTTTTCAACATCCGAACTGCCATGGAGCAAAAGATACTAGCATAAGACAATAATAATAGCAATAACTTAGGTAACTCTAGAAAGTTTAAATGAGAACCAAAATCAGTAATTGCTCAACAAAACAAAACAATTATAAAGCATGGGGCACTCTCCCTCCCCCCAAGTTGTTGCATGATATAACTAGAGCTTGTGATCAGGAATTTATATAAGTGTAGGATCTCATAATTTTATGCTTGGAAACCAGCAATTTATGAATGACCTGTTCACTCCAACTATTTTCCTATAACTGAGTCAGTTTAAGATGGTGCAAATTCTACATATAGTGTTTCTTCTTAGGAGATAAACTTTAACTATAAATAGCATCAGTTTACAAAAATTGGACAAACATTCCTTCAAGAAATATTGGAGTGTCCTATCAAAAAAAGAAATATTGGAGTGTAATAGAACCTAAATAATTATTGGCAATGCCTATGTAAGATCTTGTTTCAAGACTGCTCCGGCCAAGTAAATTATAATACACATCTAAGTTATCAAAATACTTTCAATAAAATGTTTAGGTAAAGGTCAAAGAGATCAAGTTTTTTTAAGGGAAGTATGTAGACCTTGTGGTAGCAGACATTAGAAGGCATTGACAGCGTCGTGGAACATGGGGGATGAGAACCTTCAGGTCATCCTCATAGCCATATGACAAAAGGAGGTCAGCCTGCAAACTTAGGATATATTAGTTGGCATTCAAGTTAAGGCAGATAACTAACTGTAAAAACTTCTTTTTTGGTGAATAGTGTGCTTTGTTTATGTGGTGTCTGATGCATCACTTTATTTATATCCATCGCTTTAAATATCCCCGACATGGCCCGATATATGCCCCGATATATCCTTTTACAGGGCTTGCCGCAACCGATATGGTTTCTAAACAAACTCTACGATTTTTGGGTATTTTGGGTGATATATCCCCGATATGATCGATATATCAGCCAATATGTTGGCCGATATATGCTTTTATATGGCTTGTCGCAAAATAATATACTGCGTTTGACAATTTTTCCTAAGAATATTGAAGAGAAATGTATGAAAATACAGTTGGCATTTATTGTTTCTCAGATAAACTAGAATACTTAGAAAAATATCCCAACCCTTTTTTCCTTCAGTAATTAATGTAAATTTGGATTAAATACTTCCATAGCCACCAGTTATTGCAACAGTCTTTATGAGATCCAAAACGTAGTTCTCAAGCTTCTTATCATAGTTGAAATGTTTTCATTCCAATGCAACCATCAGTGCAAATTCTGAATCCTTAAAAACACTTTTCTATCTAGTGTAGCATGTTCTGTCATATAAATAAATAATCTCGTAACTTCTCTTTGTCATCTTATATTTTCCTCAAAGCTTTTGGAATATAAAAGTTATCCAGGTTGGTAAATGTAATAGATTCAGCGATAATAATAGGAGACAGTAGGTATACTAGGCAGTTAAATTTTCCTTGGTAATTAGATGATGGACTAAGTAGATTCAACTAAACAACAGAAGGCTAATCATTATCTAACCAGTTAAAAGAATTTCACAGGTAATGGATAACAGAATACTAGCACAGCCATAGACGAATGAAACAATGTTTGTTGCCAACTTACACATCATTAAAATAAAAAACAAATAATAAATTAACCTAATGCAGTAAATCAAACTACACACCTCATCAAGAACCAGCATCGAAAGTGACTCCGTAATGGATGATGCCTGAAGAATACCTTTCGATAAGCACGACGAAATGCAAGCTGGGGTTGACACCACAACGTCCGGTGGCCCTGATAATGCCGCAGTCTGCAATCAAACAACACAAGTTATCACCCGTCAATAAATCACCAAATATTAACCATCGATACGTATGAATCCTTTATAACAGAATCTCACCATTTCTGGAGCTTGCATACTGCTTGTCAGCTGCACAACTTGCAGCTGAACTCTGCAGAACTCGAGAAGCGAATGCGACTCCCGATGAACCTAAAGCACCGAAATCGTTTGATTAGGACGTAAAAAGGATCAAATCTATAAATACATCTATATTTGTGACTGGTTGCAGAAATGTGACACGTTTCAAACAATTTATTACCCTCACCAAATACATTTATTGTTGGGGTGTTTATCCTGGAAACAAATACAAATAGATACTTTTGTCTCCACTTTCTCTGTATTTACCTGTTGACAGAGCTCTCTTGTGGGGACGAGGATAAACACCTTCGGAGCAGCATTTCTAGAACCAGTATCAGCAAATAGCTTCTGAAGCATCGGTAGAAGATAGGCAAATGTTTTCCCTGAACCCGTCTTTGCTCGAGCAACAACATCTTTACCTTCCTGTTAGCAAAAAATCCATTACTACATACCAAAATTATACTTAAAATCTCCGCTGGCTGCAGAAACGTAACAAGAAGCAGATGAAAGATTATTCGATTGCCCTACAATTAAATCGTATTACACGTCTTTTGAATTTTTCTATGTCATGCACAATTATCTCTGCTGGAATGCGACAAGTCGAAGATGCAAAGATGTCATATTTCCTACCATTAAGCAAGTCTTATCAATTTCTGTTAGTCATGCATCGTTATCTCTACATCAATCATATCAAATTCAACATAACAAACTACTAATAACAATAATAAGCATCCTGGGGGCTAAAATTGTCCAAAAAAATACAAATTTTGGAGAAAACTTTACTCACTAGGATCAAGGGGATGCCCTCGCGCTGAATGGGAGTGGGTTTGGTGATGCATTGCTTGGAGAGAGCGCGGATCAATCGGGGATCGAGGCCGAGCTCTTCGAAGCTCACTTCTTCATCTTCTTCCTCCTCCTTCGGGTTGTGTTTGTCGATCGAATTCGTCGTCATTCCTTTATTAGGGTTTGTGGCTAGGGTTTAAGGACGAGCTCGGAGAGGGGACGTGAAGGAGAAATTGGTTTTATTACTAAAGGTCAAGAGTTTTCGGGTCGTTGGTTTAAGTCCAACCCGATCCAATTAGAATCCTCTTTTAATGGGCTGGGATTAGGCATTCTCAAGTCTAGGCCCAATTTAGCCAGTTATGAACTACTAATCACTCTTACAGAAAGGGGTAACGTATTACTAATCATCATATCATATCATATCATATCATATCATATCATATCATACTACCTTTAAAAGAGGGAGTTGTAAAAAAAACTTTTCATGGACTATATTGCCCCTTATTCTTTTTTGATATTATATTCTAATCATAAATTAACTACATTAATTATAATTATTAATTAAACATATTACATGTCACTTTAATTTTATCTAACTTGGTCCTAAAACTTCCAATGTTATTGTAAAACTCTCATATTAATTATTAATAATGTATAATACTATATTAATAGACAATTGTAAGTTAATAAATTATTTTGGAAGGATTAGAAATTATAAAATTAACCTAAATTTTTACCATGGCACTCACATAGGAAAATAATATTGTTCCTGGACTATATTGCCACCGTTCTTTTTTGATATTATATTCTAATCATAAATTAACTAAATTAATTATCATTATTAATTAATCATATTGCATGCCACTTTAATTTTGTCTAACTTGACCCAAAAACTTCCAATGCTATTGGAAAACTCTCATATTGATTATTACCACTTTAATTTTGTCTAACTTGACCCAAAAACTTCCAATGCTATTGGAAAACTCTCATATTGATTATTAATAATGCATAATATTATGTTAATAGACAATTAAAAGTTAATAAATTATATTTTGGAAAGAGTAGAAATATAGATTTATCCTAAAATTATGATGACACTCACATAGAAAAATTATAAAGAGTATTCTTGCATATATAAGTAAAAAACATGTAATTTTAGAAAATATTAGGATATTTAAGTGCATTAAGATATAAGTGAAGGTATATGAGTGTAACTTTCATGAGTTGTAAGTTATTTAAGTTGAATTAATCCTATAAAGATTGAAGCCTTTGTTGTTAACCACAAGAAATAGTATGTGATCCCTTTGATAAATAATATTCATCGTACACTATGAGGCCAGATGTGTAGTTTATATTTATATAGACAGAAGATGTGAAAGATTTTAAGCATCATATTTTGAATAAGTCTCAAGATTTTGAATTATAAATAAAATTATATACTTCGCTTAGAATCATACTCCATCTAAAAGCGGAAGTTGTAAAAAAACTTTCTTTGAACTATATTACCCTTATTTTTTTAAATATTATATTTTAATCCTAACTAAACTAAATTAATTATTATTGTTAATTAACCATATTATATACCAGTTCAAGTTTGTCTAACTTCGTCCCTAAAACATCAAATGTTATTGTAAAACTCTCATATTAATTATTAGTAATGTCTAATAATATATTAATAGACAATTGCATGTTAATAAATTATTAATGAAAAGAGTAGAAATATAGAATTATCCTAAAATTATACCATTATCTTCATATAGGAAAATTACAAATAGCATTCTTGTGTATAGAAGGTATAGACATGCAATTTTAAAAAATATTAGGATATTTAAGTGTAGCAAGATACAAATGGAGGTATGTATTTGAGACTTTTATAAACTGTAAGGTATTTAATTTAATTAAGCCAATAAAGATTTAAATCCTTTGTTAACCACAAGCAATAGTATGTGATACATTTAATAAATAATATTCATCATATAATATGAGACCATAGGGTTAGCTTATATTTATATACTAGAGGAGACGTGGGAAAATTAAAGCATCATATTTTAGATAATCTTAAGCTTTTGAATTATTTCTGAATTTATCTACTTTGCTTAGAAAACTTTAGAAAAGGCTTTCGAATGACTACTACAAAGTGTTGGGCATCATATAAATGATGGACAAATAAAATCCATGATATTGGATTGTAATAATAGGGGTTATGTAAAAAAGATCTGGGTGTCATACGAGATAATCCTCATACATAATATAACATTAATCTAGAATATCAGATATTGATGAATTTTCAACATAAGAATTTTTGTCAAGATATATGCTTAATATTTGGGAGAGTTGAGAGTGGAGAGATTTAAGATATGAATTGTGGCTTTTTGTGACTTGTGCTTTAGTTTTGGTTTCCAAGCACGACCTAATACCAAGCCCACAATGAAATTAAAAATGACTCGATTTTGTTATACTAGCCAAAATTTTCGATAATAGTCAATATACAAAACAATATATCGATCAAGATAAAATAAAAAGAATATAAAACCATAAATATTATCAAGATAAAGTATTTAACCTTCTATATCAATCGATATAGCGATATATCAGCCGATATTTCATATATTGCCTATAAGAGCAATATTTAAAGGTAATTTAGATATCATTTTATTGATTTTAAATCTCTAATAATTCTACATTATTCCCTTAAAATTTTGAAAGGTAATTTAGATATCATTTCCTTGATGTTAAATCTCCAATAATTCTACATTATTCCCTTAAAATTTTGAAATTTCTTATAATTTAGGGACTAATTATGAATTGTAAAACAAGTGAGGACAAATATGTAAATAAGCTAAATTTAAAAGAATAGTTAATTTTTTAAAAACTCTCTCAACTATGGGGAATATCTCAAAAAAACCACTCAACTAATTTAATTTGACAGAGACCCCTAACTATAGTGGTGTTGTAGATAACCCTCTCAACTTTGGTGCAATTTTAGAAAACACCATTCGACTTAGCGTGTCTTGTAAAACCTCTCCTGCTCTTTTACACATCTCTTAACAAAACCCATTAATGTAAAAGACTTTAATATGTGTTTTTGTCAAAATGCCATGTTGAAGAATGCCATTTTAGTTAAAAAGAAACTCTCAACTCGATAATAAAAGGATTACGACCATTTGACCGTTTTTTTTCCTCTAAATCTTCACTTTTCTTTCTTCTAGCAAAAACCAAGCTAATTCTTTTATGGTTGAGGGATATTTTGATCTTTTCAAGTCATGTATTTATCACATAATGAATTTGACTCAACGATATTTGTTTTGAGGGGTTAATTGATAAAAATTCATAGGGTATTTATCACATAATGAATTTGACTCAACGATATTTGTTTTGAGGGGTTAATTGATAAAAATTCATAGGGTTTAATCAAAAATTTAAAGTTAAGATAGATTAGCTACATGCCCTAAATTTGACGAACAAAGATTTACCCATTTCAAGCAGTTGGAGGGAAAGGAGAGGGATTATTTAATATTTTCCCCATAGCTGAGGGGAAGTTTTCTTAAATTAACCCTTAAACGAAGCACAATTTAAGACACATGCAACATCAATCTTATAAGCGTGAATTTTATAGCAAGGCTATCAGTATCTTTGAAAATCTTTTGCTATAAAATTCACAAAGAGAAATTTAATATTTATTTTGGGATTACTATGTGATCCTTATGGTTCTCCTTATCTTTTATGATTTGTAATAAATTATTTAATAAAATAAAATAAGTTGTTCATTTTATATGTCTCACCTTTATGAAGCATATATTTTGGATATGATTTTTATTAGATTCTTTTAACTCTTTAACCTAAAATTTTGGATATTATTCAATATTGGATATATCTAAATTATTTTGTTAAAATACAATCCATATATGTACAAAATATGTTTAAATCATTCTTAGATTATATTTTATAGTTTTTTGAAATTAGAGAATAATCATTTTGAAAATTTAATTAATTAATTGAGAAGATGTAGGAAGATTATAATATCAGATTTTGAAATTGATCACATGATTTATATTTTCTTTCTTGATTGCATATGCACATTCTAACTTTGAAAAATCTAGAAAAAAAGTTTTTGAATATCTATAATACTTGGTCACCAGATAATAAAAAGTGGAAGTAGACAATAGGTGCGAGCGAGTTCTTTATAATTAAACAAAATCCTCTATGACCAGATAAAATCTACCATTTTACGTTGATGAATTCAAGATTTAATTTTTCATTAATAATAATAGTTTTTAGGTATTGATGCTTACATCATTAATATTTTAAAATTAGAATTCCAAATTATTAAATTGCTCTTAGATCATTAATATTTTAAGATTTTAAACCTCACTAATTATGTAGAAGGCAAAGTGTTGAAACAAACAAGATTTTATATATTAAAAGATCTAAAACTTTTTAATATAATATGATAATCATAAACTTTTTTGCAATTATGCTACAGTAAATATATAAACTAAAAATCAACAATTATAATATTTGACCACGTACATTGCACGTGCATTCCACCTAGTCCAAATAAAAAAAGAAGGGAAATTTGCTTGAAGTAGCCTCAAATTGAAAAATTATGCATCCTCCTCCCTGAGAAAAAAGTGCATGCTTCAACACCCTTATATAAATAAAGTTATGCACTTACCTCCCTAGAAGCGTAAAAGCCCTCAATTCTTGAAAAATTCCCCAAAATACGCCTCTGATTTAATCAGAATCCACGTGAAAAAAAATCATTCATTGTAGTTCTTACCTCTTAAACCCCCAACCCATCTTCTTCTTCAAAGGTCTCGAAAAGCTCTAAATTATTTTTTTCAAACCCAAAAATTGGGGAGGGGTGGGGTGGGGTGGCTCAACCTTAATTTTCTCTTATTCTTGAAGTTTCAACGAAATAAACCCACCAATTGTTAACCCTAATCTCGAATTTCTTCTCCAATGGAAGCAACAGAGGGATCAAAACCATTAGTTTTTAACCTATTTCAGCCAAAAGGTTCATTTTTTTTGCGAGATCTCTCCTAATCCATGGCGAAGTCATATTCAGTAATGGAATCGGTGACTAAGAATGTCAATTTAGAGTCTGCTACGGTGAAGTGATAATCAATATTATAAGTACATTATTTTTTATAAAAATTAATCTAATTGAAAGAGGGAGTTTAGAGAGACTCTATAACGTATTAATTATGCGCGCTA